GAATGCGCCGACTCGATTCCGGGATGAGAGCGCCCCTGGTGGACAGCAGACGCAAAAAGAGAGGAGGATGCGGGAGGCGGCCGAACGGGCCCGGCGGACTGACTGCGCGGGCACAGAAAATAAAGGAGGCTATGTCCAAACTCACCTTCATCCAGCACATAAAACAGCTGAAGTTAAAATGTCTCAAGACCATGAACCTTTTAAAGATTTTATCGCATCAGTCGTGGGGGACAGACAGGCACTGTCTCATATCTCTGTTTCGAAGCCTGGTTCTGTCACGCATAGACTATGGATCCATAGTATATCAGTCAGCTTCAAGGACAGCACTGATAATGTTGGTCCCTGTATACCACCTAGGTATCCGGCTGGCACTTGGTGCCTTCCGTACCAGCCCTATTCAAAGCCTTTATGCAGAGTCAGATCAGTGGCCACTAGACTATCAGCGCAGGTATCTAGGAGTGAACTATGCAGTTAAGATCATGTCTCCGAAGCAGCACCCATGTAAAACACTTATGAACGATGTGTCTACTACCCAGTTATACCTAAACCGTCCTTCTGTCACCCCACCATTTCCATTGGCAATAAGACCTGCAGTAGAAAAACTTGCGATTTTCTTCAATGACTTGGAGGAAAGTGACCATGTCGAACACATGCCTCCCTGGCAGCAATGTCCAGTCACTTGTGACTGGTCTTTCAAAGACATCATAAAGGAAAATTGTCCAAGTGTACTTATTGAGCAACATTTCTTGGCCCTTGAACACAAATATTGTTCAACCGCGTTCTTCTCTGATGGCTCAAAATCTCAAACATCTGTATCTTGTGCAGCCTATGGACAAAATTTCTCGGACACCAGAACCATGCATACACATACCAACATTTTCACAGCGGAAGCCTATGGTATCCTGCTTATTATACAACACATCAAACAACACAAGATACAAAAGTCTATAGTGTACACAGATTCTTTAAGTGTTGTCAGGGCCCTGTCTTGTGGCAAGTACAGCAAGAACCCTACTTTCAACAAGCTCCTTAATGAAATCTATGCAGCCTACAACTTAAAGCTTTCTATTGTTATTTGCTGGGTTTCAGGTCATTCTGGAATTGCGGGCAATGAAATGCACGAGAAGCCGCTGGTCAGCAAACCATAGATATAACCTCTGTTCCGGGTGTAGATCTAAAACCTGTTGTACGTAGAGGTCTACGCAACCACTGGCAAGCTGAATGGGACAGAGAAGTCGAACACAAACTCCACCTTGTAAAACCCCAGCTGAGAAAAGTTATCCCCCAAAAACTCAACAGGTTCGCCGAAGTCACTCTAACACGGCTCAGAATAGGCCACACTTATGCCACACATAAACACCTTTTGACAGGCATTGATCCACCTACAGAGAGTCTAACCGTTGTGCATGTCCTCATACAATGTCCCTGTGCTTCACCAAGCACGACTGACCCATTTCAGGGAGCTCTATCGATATGATATCCCACTCCATCAAGCGCTGTTTTTATCACTTGATGCAGTGGTTGACCTTAAGAGACTTCTTCATTATCTTGGGAAAGTGAAATTTTTAACAATGATATCATTCCATCCTAGGCACCAGGCTGCGCCTCAAGTGTGAGGTACCCCCTGGTGCATAAAAAGTATGTCTGAGCCTTCGCTTCGCAGTTCTTGCTCAGGCAAGGACTTCAGCTGCGAGGGTCTTGGGCCTTGCAGACTAATTTATTAGCACAGACTTCAGCCAAAAAAATGAAGGTTTTAGCAAAGTGACATTTCTTTTTTAAACAAAGTGGCATTCTTTTCAGTGTACTGCGTTTTAAATGGTTCGTACGTAGTTTTTAATCGTACGTAATTCGGTTCGTACGTAATTACGTTCCGTAATTACGGTCCGTACGTAGTACGGTTCGTACGTAATTTTTAATCATGTTTTATTCATTTGTTTTAATTTTTAAACTAATAACCGAAATGAAACAACACTTTTTTGGCGCTCTGTGGCCTTAGATGCCCTTGCGCCAATAAAACTTAACGTAATAATAAAATAAAATAAGCAACCATGGGATCCCAGGTGCCTTCAGCAGCTGGCACACAGGCTGGGGAAGGATTTTGTCCTCTGTGGGGACTTCAACGCACACCACACAGCATGGGGCAGCCACAAGACCTGTCCACGGAACAGGGCCCTACAGGACGTCCTGCACGAGATGGGCCTGGTGTTTTTGAACACAGGGGTCGTGACCTTCATCCGTGGTGGGGGCCGGGCAGCTCGCACGGCCATAGACGTCAGCGCTGCCACGGAGAGATGCCACTACTCTTGGACACCAGCACAGGGCTCTGAACATCTGCCCCTCCTGACGTCTCCCTTCAACGGCAAGGCCCCCAGGAAGAGAGAATACCACGTGGTAGACTGGCAGCTCTTCCGGCGGCTCTTCAAGGAGGGCACGAGTGGTGGGTACCTCATGCGGCTGGATGGCCGACAGCGCTAAGGCAGCAACAATTGTCACTAAGGCTCAGCAGGGACAGCCCGTCCCGGAATTCAAGCACCTGGCATTGAGGACGGCACGGCGGCGAGCAGAGCGGCAGGCCCTCGAAGGGGTTCTACCGGAACTAAAGGCGGCATTCCGTAGGATAGATGCAGTTTGCCGACGCCATGCCTGCAGGCACAGGAACCAGGGCTGGGGGAGCATCTGTGCTCAAACTCATCAACTGTTCAAAGGATGGGGCCCACACCTGGCGCTTGCTGAAGAGCCTCCTGATGGTGCCATGGGCAATGAATCAGGTGCTGTCTGTGGCGGTGCACATGGCTGTCCCTGCTTCTAAGCTCCTGGTCGATCAGTTTGCCACCAGGAGCATCGTCCAGCTGGCCCCTCTGCCCCCGTCGGACTGCCCTACCATGTCCAACCTCCTGCCATCATCCAGGCTGAGTGGCCGCACCGACCCAGGAACTGTGCAGCGAGCCTATCCGGATGCACGAGCTCGTTACAGCCCTCGAGGGATCCAGGCGACGCATTGCCCAAGGAGCAGACGGCATCACCTTCCAGATGCTTCGCAACCTGGCAAAGGGAAGCAGTCAACGTCTCCTGGGATACTTTAACGATGTCTAGGACCAAGGTCCTGGCAAACGGCGGTGGTGGCACCCATCGTGAAGTCCCAGAGGAAGGCCTCTGTGCTCTCCTCCTACAGGCCAGTGTCTCTAACATATGCAGCCTGAAAAGGTGCTGCAGAGGGTGGCCTTGGAGAGGCTGCGATGGATTGCAGACCAGCTGGGCTTCTTCCCCAAGCAGCAGACGGGCTTCAGGCGACACAGGTGCACTGCCGACTCCATCACAGACGTCGTCGCTACCTTGGAGTATGCCAAGAGCTGCGGGGATGTGGCCATGCTCCTGCTGCTGGACGTGGAGAGCGCTTTCGGTGGCTTCCCGCACGTGGTCGTAGAGGCGGTTCTAGACAAACTTGGCATCAGCGGGTGTCTCCGAGGCTTTGTGACCGCCTTTCTGACCGGGAGGACCTTCTGCGTTCGTGTTGGAGGACAGACCAGCCAGCCCAGGGTCATCACAACTGGTGTTCCCCAGGGCTCCGTACTGAGTCCTTTCCTCTTCAACATGGCGCTCGCAGGGCTTCCAGCTTCCTTACCGACAGGCACCAGGTTCCCGGCTCAATACTCTGTCTATGCTGACAACGTGGAACTCTGGGAAAGGAGCCCAAGGCGGTCCATCCCAGCCTATCAGAAGTTCTCTGCAGGCAGCCCTGGATGCGGTGATCGCCTTCCTCGGAGGCATTGGCCTTAGTGTCTTTCGCAAAACAAATCAAGGCCTTGCTTATTCATGCCTTTGCGGTGGCACGGGTCCCCATGAAGCCGCTCAAGGTTAACAACCACCAGTCTCCCTTGGAGGACGACAGTGAGGTACGTGGGCCTCACCGTTGACCACCGGCTCACCTGGATCTCTGCTGCCAAGGCCACCTCAGCCAAAGTCCGACTTGTCTAAGGTTGCGTTCGGCAGCCTGCAACAGCGAGGACGCGGATGCTCCACTAAGTGGGCGCTGCTGGCTCTTCAAGGCCGCCGCCATTTTTGTCCTGCTGTATGCCCTCCCGCTGGTGAACCTGACGCCAGCCGGGAGACGCCTGCTGGAGGAGCTGGACAGGGGAGCTCTGAGCGCCATCCTGGGACTACCTTGGAGCTCTCCTGTTGCCGCAACGCTGGCGGAGGCGGGAGAGTGGCCCCTATCGCTGTGAATGCTACAACGCGCACTGGGGCGCACAGACCGTCTTCACCAAGCTGCAGACGGTGCAGCTCTCTTGGCCTGCCTGCGCAACCTGCCAGGGTCCAGGATGGGTGGCCTCATCCCCCTCTACCATCAGATGGTACCGGATCCACCCATACCTATTGCCCCTCCACCGCCACACCTCCGGCCACCAGAGGTGCATCTCCACCTGCACGGGGTTCCAAAGCACGGAACACCTGCAGCTGTTCTACAGCAGGCGGCATCCTGCAAACTCCAGGAGCGTCTGGAGGGCCGGCTGCAGGTGTACACGGACGGTTCCGTGATGCCGGATGGAACAGCCGCGGCGGCATGCGTCGTCCCTGCATAGAGAAGCAGCAGGAAGTGCAAACTACCCTTTTTGGCAAGCTCCACGGAGGTGGAGCTGGCCGGGCTCCACCTGGAGCTGACCTCCTGGCAGAGGCCATTCCAATGCAACCTGTGGCCGTCCTCTGCGACAGCAAGGTGGCACTGCAAACCCTGGTGAACCCCAGACGCGCCGGGAAGACCGGGAAACTCCTGGTGGCCAAGTGCCAGGCCCTTGCTGCTTCTGGGGCGTTCGTCTCCTTTCACTGGCTACCGTCCCACAAGAGAATATCCGGCAACGAGGAGGCGGACAGGCTTGCCAAGGCACCTTCTTCACTTCTTCGCGGCCAGGGACTTCATGAAGGCGCGCATCAAACGGGTCTTACTAACGGTACACCCAGACCACAGAGTAGCCAATGGACGAGCCCCCAAGCTCCTGCCTGAGATGGGTCCCACCAGACCAGACCGCGCCGCCTTGCTGCGCCTGCGGGCCGGCTGCGTTTCGACTGCTGCTCGAGGACACGCTATGAGACGCTGTGCATCTCCCACCTGCGGCCGATGTGGAGACCCCGAGACCCTGGAGCACCTCCTCTGTGCCTGCCCTGGCCTGGCACAGGAAAGTTCGAGGGTCATCACAGCCTACTGCAGACAGGGCCTACCCGCCGCCACCTTGTACCACCTGCTCTACCCGTCCCGTCCACACCTGCCAGCGCTGCGGAGTCTGGTACACTTCCTAGAGGAGACAGGAATAGCTGCTTACAGATGAGCGGAGACCTGCCAACCCTGCCCCTGCTGCTGCCCCTTTGCTGCTCCAGCCATGGCCTTGACATCTTACACTCACCACTCCCCCATCCTATCTATCCTGTTTTACTCCACTCCCCCTTTCCCCACATAGCACTGCGCAGTGTCGCCCAAGGGGCTGACAGAAATTAGGTGCCTTCTTCCTCTTTCTAAAATCCCTCAAAAACAACACTCGGTCACTGCGCTGCCGATGGAACTTTTATTTTCTGTCCTTCCCTTCCCCGAAGTACACAGTTCGAGCGAAAATCATCGGCTACGATCAAAACATCGCCCGCCCGTAGTCCCTGCCCGCGCACTACTGTGCACCGTCCCCTGTGTGGTGCACCCGGATCCTCAAAAACATTCCGTTAAGATCGAAGACCCACCCAACGGCATGGCGCCTTACCAGCGTGCGCGCTACGCTGGCTGGCTGCACTGCACCGCGCTTAACCCAATGATTCGCTGTACTTTGTTGGTGCCGACAGTGCTCGTCAGAACCGGGAAGTTGTCCAGCACAGATGCGCCAAGATTGTAGAGGATTAAAGGGCTCATCGCATCGTTTCGTATCGGTCCGGATTCATCGCCGTCTTTCTGTGGTCGCCCTTTGCGAACGGACTGAAGGGGATCTATGAAGGACCGCGGGGGCGCAAAAACAAAATGTAACGGCGTGCCGAGGTGGGCCCCACCGGCGTCAGCCGCGCATTTGTGCCGTTGTTGTCGCTAACTGTCGGCAAATGGGCGCCAGAGGGTTAACAACCTCTCACGCCTCTATCAAGCTACATCTTCACACTTTGTTCTAGCGGCATTGCATGGTTTCGCATGGGCTATGCAGTGTATACTAGACAGGGTGTGATAATGGGCATGCATACTCATTGAACACTTTCGTAGTTAATGATTGATAAGTATAATGAAAAGAGGGAGGGGGGGCAAGCATGGCACTTTTCGTTTTTTTCTTTGTGCACGTATGAAGTCGTTCTTGTTCGTGCGTTTATTGTTTTGGGAGCGTGTTAGCGTGATTTTGTCGATGGTGGCCCATTTCGCGCATTTTTTATCTGTCCTTCATATTATAATTACTTCACCTTATGGCGTTTTCGTTCGGACAGACTCGAAATTGCACTAAAGCTGCATGGCCCGCTTTTGTACTGCCTTTCGTACGTAACAAACATATTTGTGCTCAGCCACGTAGTATACTATATAGCCGCAACAATAATAATAATAAAGTAAGCTATTAGAATATTGGTTGATATGTGCGGTTCAGCGTCCCAAAACCACCTTATGATTATGAGAGACGCCTTAGTAGAGGGCCCCGGAAAAATTATTAGAAGACGCTTGATATAACCATCCCTTGAAGCCTTTCTTAAATAGCTGGTGGTTGAAAAGGAATGTGGTTTGAGAAAGCCACCCTGTTCATGACGGAGAGGTGGAATTTGGTATTATGACTTGGTCTAGTTTTGTTCACGGGGTTCAACGGGGTGGTTACGAGGTGAACCTACACACTTTTATAAGTGTAGAAGTTGTGTCCACGTCGTGGGCTTACCGCAAACATCCTCTACATTGGCGTTTAAAGGGTAACTCACGAGTCGCGTTAGAGCACAGACGTGAGCGTTATCAAATTGAAATGCACTTTAGGGTGCGTTGATGTGAATATCGCACCTAATTTTCGGTTGCACATTTGTCCTGGCTCGAAGAACGCTTCAATATAACTTACAGAAGTATATAAGAATACAAATATAATGCTTATCAGACTGACGTAAAACGCAACTAGAACTTAGACCACAATTAGCGTTAAAGCTACATGACGCCTGTATCAAAGGAGAACTCATGTGATGCTTGTTCTTTTCATATGAAATTAGGTAGTGCGTGTCAGTGTGGGATTTTAATATAGGATAAAAGTGAGCCCCGTAACTGTCTCTCAGGGGGAGGACACCTCAACAGTAGCTTATGAGGGTGTCACAGAACGAGCGCTAAAAAAAGGGCGCGCCGCCAAACCCTTGCGACAACGGGCGGTAGAAACGCCGCGAGGTAAAAAGAAAAAAAAAGAAAGCAAACATCCAAGGCTCCCGGGCGCGCGCTCTCCCCGCAGAAGCACGGCTTCGTAGACGAACCTCCTCACCCCACAGCGGCGGCCGGGCAAGCGCTAGAAATTTCCAGAACGAAGGAGGCGTGGCTACGCCGAGCTGAGTCACCCGACGCGGAGGGCTGACAAACCGTCTCGCCTCTCTCCAGCCTTCGCTGCGTATCGCGCCGACGAAAGGACGAGAAATTTCTGGAAGGTGGCGCGGAAGGTATTTAATCTAGCGGCCGAGACGAGAGAACAGGAGGTGACGGAAGTTAACGCCAGAGCGCGTAGGAATTCCGCCGTGGAGTCGGCGAAGGTTCTGCCCGTAGTGACAGAACAGGAGGTGACGGAAGTTAACGCCGGAGCGCGTAGGAATTCCGCCGTGGAGTCGGCGAAGGTTCTGCCCGTAGTGACAGAACAGGAGAAGACGGAAAGTTAGCGCCGGAGCGCGCAGGGATTCCGCCGTGTAGTCGGCGAAAGTTTGGTCCGTAGGGACGGCTCGAGCTACAGGCAAGAGCGTGGGTTTACCGCTATCGAGCGAAGACGCGGGCAACAGCTGCGTGTGTGAAGCCGACGGATTTCCGGCGAAGAAGTTTGAAGCTTGGAGAGTGGCCTATTGAAGACGGGAGTTTTCCTGGAAGAGAAACTCCGGCGAGGTTTCCTGGAAAAGAAACTTCAGAGAGCTACGGAACGACAACAACGCTGGACTTTGAGTGAGTGATTCTCGGAAGAGTATCATTCAGACTTTTGTTCCAAGGACTTTGGACTGAATAGGTTTTCTATCGCTTTAGTCCTTAAGTGTCTTGGTTGTTCAATGCATGTGACTGCATTGTAGTGCGTATTGTTGTCCGTGTCCGTTGTTTTGAGTGTGGCTGATTGTGTTGTGTAGTACGTTGATTGATTGGTTTGATCGGTGTCATATTGTATGCAACTATTGTGGAGTGTGCATTCTTGTGTATTGTTTTCGATCTGCCATTTTTGAGAATATAATATCTGTTTTGTTTATCAACTCTCGGCTCTGACTTGTTCTTTGGGCCACGACCGGCGTCTGCTGGCGCACCAAAAAGGACCACTTCAAAATTGTCCACGCTTTCGTGGTGCGGTTCGGGGGGCCGATACTTCGGCTCTTGGAATTAGCCCGGCGATTGCCTCCCTAATAAACGGGACAGGTGTGACAGAGGGATAGGGGTAACAGAGGGAATAAAAGGATAGGATTGAGTGGTAAAGAAATAGAGAGATGAAGGAGAGAGCGAGGTGCAGGGACAGCGAACGACAGTAAACGACGGAGGTAAGGAGGAGATAGGAAAGATGGACACGGTCGCATGAGACCGAGGTCGGGCACTACTCAGCGAGAGATCTTGTCGGCGCCAGGAGATGGCTGCAGGGCGAGCCCAGTCGGCTAGAGCTTCGCTGTCGTCAGAGAACGGGGGGGGGGGGGGTGCACAACCGGTCGGCACGAAATCCAGAGAGCGAGTGAAGGTAGCCAGCGCAGCAACCAGCACTTAACGCAGCACCGATATTACGCCTGCGTACAGGGTACTATTCCAGAGCAATTTCAAGACCTCGTAGAATACCTGACTGCCACGCAGATTGCTTGGGTTCGATTCCTACTGGGATGCTTATTTTTATTCTTTGCATTCGTTGATTCGACAATGCCGATGTCGGTTTTTAATGCTCTTGTGTTTAAATTTCAATTTGTTGGTTCTCGCCGTTCTTGGTTAGATATAAACTGCCGATCACCTGTGGCTCACACCCGCATACAGCGGCCAGTGGTGTACGGGTGTCTGTCACACGTGTCTGGAGGAAAGCGTTTGACGATGCACGTGGCAATATTTCACAACTTGGCTTGGACTAGCGTGGTACATAAGAAAAAAAAAAGGAAAGGACGACACAGACGTCAAGAAAAGTAGGCACTAAACATCCACTTGTTTATTTCATGTCCTTAACATCTGTCTTATACATGCGTAAAAACAAAACTCATCTTGCACGGGGTCACACTACAAGATACAAGTCTTTATCCGTCAGTGCCATTTATGGCGTACTCACACACGTCCCCCATATCTGCTATGGCCTCAGCTTCTTTAATTTCATGGGTCAGCTGATTCCGAGACCGGCAAAAAACAATGCAGCTGTACAAATTAGGAGAGCCCCCTCAACCTTTGCGCCGACAACCGCTGCTATGAACCCTCCCGCTTGCGCCTACTTTTCTTGACGTTGGTGTAGTCCTTTCCTTTTTAAATGCGAAACATTTCTTAGCGAACTGCGAGCGCATCTATCTATCTATATCTGTCTCTCTGTCTATCTATCTATCCATCTATCTATCTATCTAGCCGCCAAAGACTTTTAGCTCTCCTGGCCGTTTCGATAATGGTATCGATACCAAACTTGGTATAGCATAACATGACTTTATGAAGAACATATAGGAGTAGTTGTAACATGAAAATCATGACATGTATGTCATGAATGTCATGATTTACGTTTCACGGTCGTGCAGCTCCTGTTGTGGTTTCGTTCACATTGTATCTTGCAAAACTGTTATGGTATGGCATGATTGCATGGCGATCAAAGGCGACATACCCTAACACTAAAATCATGACATGCGTGTCATGTAACATCATGACTACGTGCCACGCTCATAATGCGCTCATGGCCGTTTCGCTAGCGTCACAAATACCAAATTTGGTATTACAGTAAACGTGAATGGATGACGAAGGGTATGATACTGGGGCCAACATGATCATCACGAGATGCATGTCATGAAACATTATGACTGCATTCCACCCTCATGATGCGCTGGCGGCCGTTTCGCTAGCTTCACTTTACCAAACTCGGTATTACGCGAACGGATGACATAAGTAAATGACACGTCCAAACATGATGATCATAACATGCGTGTCATGTAACAACATGACTACGTCCCACACTGATTATGTGTTCGTGGCCGATTAGCTAGCTTCACATATGTGAAATTTTGTATTACATCACATGAATGAATGATGAAGGTATGTGACTGGTGCAACCATGGTAATCATAATATGCGTGTCATGTAAGAACATCATTACGGGCCTCAGTCAAGGTGCTAATACATTTCGACGTGACGTGGTGCGCGTGCTCACCGGCGTTCATTTCGTCGCAGCACGCAGGCGTTGCCACATTAGGCACCGATCCTGCCATATTCTCGCAGGCGCGCGCCATGTTGCGTTGCTTTGACGCATGCGCGTTTCAGCGCGTCCGGCATCCCTCCGTCACGAAAAGAGAGAGACGCCGTGTTGTCTGGATAACGCGTCGGCGCGAAATGCAGCATGTCGCATTTCGCGCCGGTTGCCGAAGGGCCGCGCCGATGGACGCAGGTCGCGCCTGGCGTAGACTATAGAGTGCTCGCGTTTCGCTAACGTAGCGTCGTTGTGCCCAGCGTGGGCGCGCGTCAACGCTACATTGAATTATATTGGGCCCTTCATGATGCGCTCGCGGATGTTTTGCTAGCTCCACATATACCAAATTTGGTATCACGTGACGTTAATATATAACCAAGGTAAACGACACATTCAAACTTGATAATCATGACACGGAAGTCATGTACGGCATTATTTACCTCCACCTCGTAACGTGTTACTGATTTTAAATTGACATATCGACATTTCTCATTCTTGCTTCGCATATCATCGATTGCCACTGGACGTGGGATCTACCAATTTTTTTTCTTCCATACATCTTTGGGCACTACACATAAAGCCTCCGTACCTTCCATAGGTATAGAGGCTAATATATATAATATATATATATATATATATATATATATATATATATATATATATATATATATATATATATATATATATATATATATATATATATATATATATATATATATATATATATATATACAGAGAGAAAGTGAGAGAGAGAGAGAGAGAGAGAGAGAGAGGGAGAGAGGCTTCATTATAGAGGTTCGGTCATCTCCAACCTGCTGTATGAGCGCCGCTTCGGTCCGTACTTCGTGCAGCCCATAGTGGCCTGCTTGTACCGGGTGACAAATGAGCCCTACCTCTGCGTGAATGGACCTGATAAGCTGTATCGACGGGCCGACCGACTTAGTTGTCTCGGGTATGTGCGAGGAGCAGTGCTACGGCATGTGCGAGACGCTCTGGGAACCCGACATGGGGCCTGACGAACTGTTCGAGGCGACCGCGCAGGCACTCATGAATGCCTTCAATAGAGACTCCGCCTCGGGTTGGGGTGGCGTTGTGCACATCAGCGAGAAGGATAAGGTCACCACCAAGTACCTCAAGACCAGGATGGACTGAAAAGAACATTGGCGACCGCGCGTCAGAAGCGTGTAACTCCGTCCTTTGTGTTGGGAATAAATGCACGCCCTTTTCTTCTTTTTTCTATACTCCTTCAAAGAAAGGCTGCGTTTTTATCAATTTGTCCGAGTGCAGTTTTCATCATTTGCAGTTGACCCATGTATAATGAACATGCGAGCCCAACCACTGTGTTGCCGGAAAAAGTGAAAAATCTTTGAAATTTATGCCAACGTATATTTTTAATCAGGATCTGCTGAGTTATCACTTCAGTATAATTGTTCATATCATTCGCTTCCTAAACAAACCCTTTGCACACTATATTACAGTACGCAAAGTTCATCCACGTTAGCAACTTAATAATGATATGCAGAACGAGTTCGGGTGTCCATTGGTCTACACTCGGCTTCATAAATCATCTGCTATGCTGTGGGTGCTAGTGAGAATTCTTGTAGTTGTGCATTCGCCACGAAAAATAGTTGTGTTCCTACCACCAATAACAGGATTTTTTGTTTTCATTACTATGGTGAGAAGTATTTGAAGGTGTTTTGTGCCTTACAAACAAAAGTGCCTTCAAGGGTTTGTTATTATACAGCTGGTTAGCTTAGTTTACACGTGACGTCATATACAGGCTCTCCGTGCTGGTTACCTTTTAATGGTGGCCACCTGGGTTTCCTGGGTTGCCAATGCTTCTTCAGCATTGCACTTCATGTGTAAAATGTACTTTAGCTAACACTACTCTCCAAGTGACCACTCGCTGGCTGGATTTCCATTTTCATGACATAACAATTGAGCAGCTTAGATGAAATGTTTGAGCATTGTTTTTAGCTAGTGTGCGCTTGCTTGCTGCACTGCAAAGGTGAAAAAAGGCCGCTGTTTTATAATGCAAACAGGAAGTGACAAGTATCTGCAATAAATACACCAGACATTGTTTTTATCAAAATCTTCAATTCAGCCCAATATTTTTCGCAAAATTTATAACTGCCCTTGCAGCGAGAGGTACAGTGATGGATACACTGCACATAGGGATCTTATGGGGCGACCGAAAAAGAGAGAGAGAAAACTTTATTAAAAAGTCAGTCAATTGTTCAGGCATGGCCCGTCGCCCCTAGCTGTCGGCCTGAGCCCCTTGGGACGCGGCAGCAGCAAGGGCTTGACTGATGATGTCGCGCTAGACGTTGGGATCTGGGCTGCAGAGCAGGGCCTCACAGGATTCTACAGTGTGAGAACCATCGTTTTGACTTGGACATGTCCACACCATGTGGACCAAATTCGCTACCTAATCACAAAATTTACACTGGAACTGGAAATCTGTGGTGTGTCACTTGCTGTAAAGTGCGGGGTTTGGAAAAACCCCGGTCTGTAACTTTCGCCCCAAAACGTCGTTTTTCTTACTTAGTGAGTTGTCCGCTCTCGGGTATACTTGCCGATTCAGCCTGTCGTGTGCGACGATTTCGTGGTATGTGCGCATATACTCGCTTCTTTGTTCGGTAACTTGGGAGGTTCCAGGAGTCGACCGGTAGGTGAAACCTCTGGTGACGGAATGAGCCTCCTCGTTCCCTCTAAGTCGTTGGTGAGCTGGAGCCCCGACAAGCAGAACCAGCTCTTTGGGTAACTCCTACCATGTTTAATATACGGACGGCATTCTCCGTCACCCTTACCGGTTCATAATTTCTCACAGCGTTTTTGGAGTCGCCGATGGCCAAAGCTATGGCCACTTCCTCGGCCTCTACACTCTCGACACCAAGGACTGTGCAGCACGCAATCAGGCCACCATCTTCCCTGACCGCCACTGCCGTGTGTGCCGCTTTGCTTTCATATTCCGCAGCGTCTGTATACGCGACGTCCTGTCGATAGGTGTACCTGCATTGTAATGCCTCTGCCCTGGCTTTACGCCTGCCTTCGTGAAAGGTAGGGTTCATATTTCTGGGCAGCGGAGGTATCTTTATCCTGTCCCTAATCTGTATCGGTATGTCTTTTGAACGCGCCTGCTCACGCTTGGGCTCATAGCCCAATCTCTTTAATATTGCTCTCCCCGTTTTAGATCCGAGTAGTCTTTGATGTTGTGCAGTCACAGTAGCCTCAATTAGCTCATCGAGTGTGTTAGATACGCCGAAATTCATAAGTCCATCAGTTGACGTGTTTGGGGGAAGTCCGAGCGTGACTTTCACACTTTTCCTGATAATGGTGTCGAGTTTGCCCCGCTCCACTTGGTTTAATTTTAAATAAGGTGCCACGTACACTATCCTACTTATTATGAAGGTCTGCACTAATCTAAGAAGGTTCGCCTCCTTCATCCCAGCATGCCTGTTTGCTATTCGTCTGATGAGAAGACATGTATGATTAGAACTGGCTTCCAACCTAGCAAGAGTTTCAGAATTCTTACGGTTCGCCTGAATCCTTAGACCAAGGACACGAATACTGTCGACCACGGGGATCTCTGCGCCGTTAACATACAAGTGGATGACCACTTCAGGCCTGTTGTGAAGCCGCCGTTTTCCGGCGGGCATGAGGAAGAGTGCTTCTGACTTTTCGGCCGAGCACTTAAGTCCTTTGGGCTCCAGGTACTCCACGATTTTATCAATGGCGATTTGCAGAGAGCCTTCAATTTGGCCGTCACTGCCCTTGTTCATTCCATAATGTTATGTCATCCACGTAACTGGTGTGATTTAAATTCTCAATATCCTTTAACTGTTCAGGCAGTTTCAACATCACAATGTTGAAAAGGGTGGGTGATAACACCGAGCCCTGAGGTGTCCCCCTGTTGCCTAATTTAATCTCCTCGATGGATTCTTCCCCGATTTTTAAAGTGGCTGTCCTGTTCGAAAGGAAGTCCTTGACGTAGTCACAAACTCACTTTCCGACGTTCAGGGAGCTCAGATTCTCCAAGATCGATACGTGCCTCACGTTGTCAAATGCTTTTGCCACATCTAACCCCACGATAACTTTTGTGTCTCGCGTTGGCTTGTCTATAATTTGGTCCTTGAGCTGTAGCATCAGGTCGCGTGCACGCTGATAGTTGGCGTCGAAAACCGATCATGGCTGTCCGGATACATACCTTTGTCTTCCATGTACCTATTGAGCCGCGTCTGAACGACATTCTCCATGAGCTTACCTACGCAAGACGTTAACGATATCAGCCTAAGATTCTCAAAACGGCGTTTTTTAACTGGTTTAGGAATGAAAATTACATTAGCGAGTTTCCACTCCTGCGGTATCGTCCCTTTTTCCCAACACTTCTGCATGTACGTTGCTAGGTTAGCGATGGACCTATCGTCTAAATTACGGAGCATTTTGTAAGTCACTCTGTCTGGCCCTGCCGCTGATCTAGTCCTTAGCCGATTACTCTCCGCTCGCACCTCAGCCAGGGAGATAGGGGAGTCTAAGGCTGCGTTTTCCCGTCCTCCATAATCTGGGAGAGGTTCGGATCCGGCGGGATTAATGTATCTGCTTCGAACTTCTTCTAAGAGTTCCTTCCTAGTGCCTTCAAATTGGTGCGCCATCCGTTCCAATTGCTGTTTAGACGCCTGTCCTTCGTGCTCTCCGGATCTAAAAGGTGACGAAGAAGTCGCCACGTCCCGGACGTACTTATATTCCTATCCGTCTCCTGACAGACGTTCCCCCACCTTTGCTTCGTGAGAGTGATGGCGTGCTCTTCAATTTGCCTGTTTAAAGCCGCTATTTGTTTCCTGATACTCCGATCCCATCTCCTCTGTTGGAGTCGGTTTTCCAAAGCTTTCTTTTTCTTCCAAAGATTCACTAATCTCGTGTCTACCACTTTGTTGTCCTCCTCGGTTTCCACCATTTCAGTGGCTTCCTTAACAGTACGTAACACCCTATCGCACCACTCGGCAATGTCGTAAATGGGAGTCAGGTCGACCCTGAGGTCCCTGAAAGAGTCCCAATTTACGGCCTCTACCCTTCGTTTCCGAGGTGTTTCCGGGCCTCCCTCTACCACTATTTCTATGATCATGTGATCACTCCTAGGTCCTCGTTTGTTTTGCTCCACGTGGCACTAGTGCCACTCCCCGTCAGAGTAAGGTCAGGGTGTGGTGTCAACCGCGGTACTATTTCCCTTCCTCGTTGGCTGCAACGGGTCGGTTATTAAATCCAGATTATGAGTTTGCATGTCATCCCACAATTTCCTGCCCTTAATTGAAGCCTGCTTATATCCCATGCCGTGTGGTGAGCGTTAAAGTCACCGACGATCAGCAATGGGTTGTTCTTACTATTACGTCGCGTAGAAGCAAAGAGATCCCCAAAGTCACATCGCCTTTGTCTGGGAGAGCTGTATATATTTAATACGAACAAGCTAGCGTTTTCTCTTTTTTGGGGGTATTAGTTCTATGAGAACATGGCCGATGTGTGCATTACCAATGTCATGCTGCACCGCCGTAACGTTTCGCCTGACCAGCGTGGCCACCTGCGTACTTGTGCCTTGGCTTACATAGGATTTATAACCCGACAATGTCGCCTTTCTCTCACATTCCTGTAAAGCTGTAACATCCGGTCGATCCCCTTTCCTCAGGAATTCCTGCAGAACCGCACGCTTGCGCGTGAAGCCTCTGCAGTTCCATTGCCAAACGGTGTTCTTACTGAATCTGTGAGCCATGACTGCCACTAAGGTGATTCATCGGCCTGCCTAATACTTCTTGGGCGAGCTGTTCATACGCCCGATCCCTCTTCGTGAATTCCTGTTTTAAGTTTCTCGGTAAGTTTATTATCCCGCTGATGCATCTGTTGTGTCAGATTTTGAAACATCTCGAGCATTCGTTTCTCGAAGGCCTTACGCCATTCATCGTCCTGGGTAGATTTGGCTTCAATGTTTGCCTCCAGTTGCGCTATTTTCATGTCTATCACTGTGTCTACGTTCTCATCTATTACGGGCTTTTCCGCTTTTTTTTGCCCTCTTTTTCGCTGGAGGCGGAGTAGCGCTCTGCTCCTCCGGCTCTTTTATGTTTTGATTCTGTGGCATTCGTGGTAGGGAAACCGGTGTTGTGTTAGACGACTTAATAGCTA